ATCACCTAGCTGTCTCTAAGAGGGAGCAAACACAGAGAACCGATAAATCATTTGTAATATATGTGTGTATGTAGATACATATGAGTGTGGATATCTATGTAGATACTTCTATATAGCTGTGTATATAGATAGTATATGATGTATTATATTACTTTTTATAAATTTTTTTATTAGTATATTTATGATATCATATTTAATTTTTATATTATATTTACATTTTTGTATTATTATGGGCTATATTAGTGGAGTCAAACTCAAATAGAAATGAGGGCCACCAAACCATGTATAAGGATCCCCGTAGGCCAAATACAGACTTAGAAAATCACATATTAACATCATCTATGTTCCATTATATTTTCATTTATTTTGTTAAGTATTTCACAGTTGCATTTTAATCTGTTTCAAGCTCCACATGTTTGATACCTCTGTGCTATATAATGTTACATAGTATATTATATAATTAGGGTATGTAATTACATAATAACACTATGTGCTACATAATATATGGTATGATTATGTTATAAGATAGCATGTAGCACATGTTATATATGATACATTGTACATTTATAATTGTATATTATATATCACATATGATCTATTATTCCGTATTAAGTATATATTACACATACTTTTTAAAGTAGTTTGTATCTATCAGAAGTTGTGATGTATGGAGGATGCATAGGAATGGACTTATATGGGCCACCCATGGAAATGTGCTCTAGGTTTCCTCTGGAAAGTCTGAATGCTCCAGGGACACACATGACTTCATTTTGAAATGGCTTAGTGCTTTGAGATAATGAAGCAGACCCCATTTTAGCCACTAAGCAAGAAGAGCCACTGAGTCAGTGGACCTTTTAAAGGGGGTGAATCGACCCCATCTATTCTTCCTTACATTCTTCAGGTGGCTTCCCATGAGGGGCTCGGGAGGGGTGACCTTTCCCCAACTCTGCACAGGGGGTATATTTCTTTTAAATAATAATACATCAGAGTGTAAACATAACCACTTACTCAACAATAAGGTGAAAGCAATAACGTCACAGATCCTCCAATAAGGAACATGCAGGAAGAATAAATATTATACACACAAACCTGGGTGACACTTTCGGATCAGTAGAGAAGAAGAGTGGGAATGCTCATTTAGAAACCTGGCAGGGAAGCATATGAATATGGAAAACGCATGTATTTAGGGCAACTTACAATTCTGGAAGTATCAAGTTTGGTGCCATCTTTCTCTCTCAGGAGCTACCCATTAAAGTTCCTAGAGGGTTGCTTCTGTACTGATGCTTGCAATGCTAAGCTTAGTTGAACCACACTGTGTTTGATGTCTTAGTCAAACTAGTTGAGTTTTCTGATTCTCTGCTTCCAAGATGTTTCTCTGTTTCTCTGGATTTCTTTCTTTCTTTTTAAATATACTTTATTTTTTTCCCAATTACATATTAAAACAATTAAAAAAAATTTTTTTAAGGTTTGAGTTCCAAATTCTATTCTTCCCTCCCTCCCTTCCTTGCCTCCTCCCTCCCCTAGACAGTAAGCAGTCAGATATAGGTTATACATATGCAGTCATCTACGTTTCCATATTAGCCATTTTGTAGAAAAAGACTTAAATAAAAGAAAAAGAAAGAAAGAAAGAAAGAAAGAAAGAAAGAAAGAAAGAAAGAAAGAAAGAAAGAAAGAAAGAAAGAAAGAAAGAAAGAAAGAAAGAAAGAAAAATAGCATGCTTCAATCTGTATTAAAACACTATCAGTTCTTTCTCTGGAAGCAGATAACATGCTTCATCATTAGACCCTTGGGATTGTCTTGGATCATTGGATTGCTGAGGAGAGCTAAGTCATTCACAATTCTTCATAGAACAATATTGCTGTTACTATGTACAATGTTCTCTTGGTTCTATTCACTTCACTCAGCATCAGTTCATGTAAGTCTTTCTAGGTTTTTCTGAAATCCACCTGCTCATCATTTCTTATAGCACAATAATATTCATCTTATAGTACAATCATATACCACAGCTTCCTTAGCCATTCCCCAATTGATAGGTGTCCCCTCAGTTCCAGCTCTTACCCACCACAAAAAGAGCTGCTATAAATATTTTTGTACATATAGGTATTTTGGGGGATGTCTTTGGGATATAGATCTAGCAGTGGTATTGCTGGATCAAAGGGTATGCACAGTTTTATAGCCCTTTGGGCATCGTTCCAAATTGCTCTCCAGAACGGTTGGATCAGTTTACAGCTCCACCAATAGTGCATTAGTGTCCCAGTTTTCCCACATCCCTTCCAACATCCATCATTTTTCTTTTTGTCATATTAGCCAATCCAATAAGTATTTGCATTTCTCTGATCAATAGTGATTTAGAGCATTTTTTCATAAGACTATAGATAGCTTCAATTTCTTTGTCTGAAAACTGCCTATTCATACGCTTTGACCATTTATCCATTGGGGAATGACTTGTATTTTTATAAGTTAGATTCAATTCTCTATATATTTGAGAAATGAGGCCTTTATCAGAGATACTTCTTGCAAAAAATTTTCCCCCAGTTTCCTGCTTTCTTTATAGTTTTGGTTGCATTGGTTTTATTTGTGCAAAAACTTTTTAATTTTATATAATCAAAATTACCTATTTTTACATTTTATAATGCTCTCAATCTCTTGTTGGGTCATAAATTCTTCCCTTATTCTTATATCTGACAGATAAACTATTCTATGCTCTCCTAATTTACTTATGGTATCATACTTTATGTGTAAATCCTGTACCCATTTTGACCTTATCTTGGTATACTGTGTGATATGCTGGTCTATATACCTAGTTTCTGCCATACCATTTTCCAGTTTTCCCAACAGTTTTTGTGAAATAATGAAATTTTGTTCCAAAAGCTTGGATCTTTGGGTTTATCTTATACTAGATTACTGTGGTCATTTACTATAATGTAACTTGTACCTAACCTATTCCACTGATCCATCACTCTATTTCTTAGCCAGTACCAGATCATTTCGATAATCACTGCCTTATAATACACTTTGAGATCTGGTATGGCTAGACTGCCCTACATTGGATACATTTCGAGCACATCCTTTCTTAGGCCCAGAGGGCTCTGGGGAACTGATAACGGGGCCCTTTCTTGTCCACACAGAAAGAAAAAAAACACTGGGTTCCTCTAAGTCCAAGACAAAGGCCCAGAAAATATAGTCCAGTAGAATCTGAAAAGCCAAGGGCTGGGGTTAGAGACTTATGTTCTTGCCTTAGTTCAGCCACTCTCTGCATGTAATCTTGAACAAGCCCTTTCTCCTCTTTGGGCCTAAGTCTCCTCCTTTGTAAAATGGGAGATTTGGAATAGACATCCTCCAAGGCCCTTCCCAGCTCCATCACCTAGAATCATATGACTTCTTTTTGTCTTTGTGGAACTAGTATTTTTTGACAGAATAAAATAGTTCTCCCAAATTGATCAAGTGAGAATTGGGCAAGGAAAAGCTAATCCTTAGGAACATGTAGATAACAACAACAAATAATGATGATAATAATAATAGCTAGCATTTATATGTGGATCAGGTACTATGCTAAGTGCTTTATACATATTATCTCATTTGATCCTCAGAACAACCCTAGATGACAAGTGCTATTATAATCTCTATTTTATAGTTGAAGAAACTGAGGTAGAAGTTAAGTGACTTGCCCAGGGTCACATAGCTAGCTAAGACTGAACTCAGTTTTTCCTGTCTCCAGGCAAAGCAGCTCTACTAACCCACCTCAAAGAAAATCCTGATTCTTGTTCAGTGTTTAAAGTCTTCATAGGGGCAGCTAGGAGGTGCGATGGATAGAGCGCCAGCCCTGGAGTCAGGAGGACCTGAGTTCAAATCCAGCCTCAGACACTTGACTGTGTGACCCTGGGCAAGTCACTTAACCCCAATTGCCTCACAAAAACAAAACAAAAAAAACACCTTCAGAATCTGGTTCCAACCAATCTTTTTTTTTCCCAAATAAATAAATTTTTATTGATATATTTTGTTTTTACATTGCTTAAATTTGTCCCTTTATCTCTTCCTTTCCTCTCTCAGAGCCTCCACATAAATAATTTTTTTTAAAGATGAAGAAGGAAAAAAATCAGCAAAAAAAGAATCAACATATTGAAAAAGTCCGAAAATACATGCCATGTTCCGCACCTGTGGACCTACCACACGTGCAAAAGGGAGTGGATAGATGTTTTCTCCTATCTTTTCTTCCCGTTGGCCCTCCTTCTTTATAATTTTGCAACATTCACTCTCAGGAAGAGCCTGACTTGACCGAATAACTACAGTTATCATTCCCAGGGCACTTTCTCTGGCTCTTCCCCCATGCCCAGAATTCTCTGCCTCCTGGCTCCCTCCCAGTACCAGCTCAAATCTCTACAAGGAGTCTTTCGTGGTCACCCACAATGTGCCTGCATTCCCTCTAACGATCACCTCCGTATCATCCTGCATATATATCCTGTTTTTTCAGACTTGCTGGCATCTTCTCTCTCCCCTTAAAACTGAGGGCTCCTTGAAAGAAGGGAGTGTTTTTGTCTTTCTTTGTCTCCACAGCTTAGCACAGAGCCTGGCATACAATAGTTTAATAAATGTGCATTGACTAACATACTAACAGAAGTTTGTTGGATTGAATGGGACTGAAGAGAGTAGGTGCTTAATTACTGCCAGTTGGACGGCGTTGTGTGGAACAGAAGACCGTAGGTGCTTAATAAATGCCTGTTGGATGGCATTGTACGGAACCCAAGAGAGCATGTGCTTAATAAATGCTGGTTAGACTGTGTGGAACAGGACAGAAGAGGTGCCTCGTAAATGCCTGTTGGATTGCATTGTACGGAACAGAAGAGAGAAGGTGCTTAATAAATGCTGGTGGGATTGTATGGAACAGAAGAGAGGAAGTGCCTCGTAAACGCCGGTTGGATTGCACCGTATGGAACAAAAGAGAGGAAGGGCTGGGTGTCCCAGCAGGTGCCCTGCCTCTCCTCCTCCCCGAGCCCGGGGCGATGGCCGAAGGGGCTCCCGGGCGGGCCGAAGACGTAGAATGGACGAGGAGCAGCAGCCCAAGAGCGCTGGCTCCCTCGCCGGCAGGCAGGAGGCAGGACGGCTGGCTGGCTGGCTGGCGCGCGGCGCATGCGCCCTGCGGCGGGGCGGGCGGGCGGGGGCGGTGGCGCGCGGAGGGGGAGGGGAGGGGGCCGGTGGGCGGGGGCGGGCAGGGCGGTGCGTGGGGTTTCCCGAGGCTGCGGGCAGGGGCCCCCGCCGCGCCCATCCCCGATGGCTGGAGGGATCTGAGGGGCGGACGGAGGCGGCGGCTGCAGCGGCGGGAGCCAGGCCGGGCGCGCGAGGCCGGGGGCGCGAGGGCGGACGCGAGAGGACGAGCGCGAGAGCGCGAGCGGGAGCGGGAGCGCGAGGGCCGGGGCAGCGGCGCGAGCCGGGGCGGGGGAGCGGCGGCGGCGGCGGCGGCGGAGCAGCGGCCTCGAGACACCCGCCGCGGACCCTGCGGCCGGCCGGCGGACCGACTGACTGACCGACGCCGACGGCGGGAGCCCCTGCCCGGCCCGCGGGAGCCCGGCCGGCCCGGCCCAGCCCAGCCCCGGCGGCGGCGGCGGCGGCGGAGGAGGAGGAGGCCCAGGCCCCCGCAGCGGCGGCGGCGGCGGCCCGAGCCCGGGAGCAGGAGGAGGCCCCCGCCCGTTCATGAGCGGCCCCGTCGAGGTGAGCGCCCCGCCCTGCCCGGGCCCCTTCGCAGGCCCCCCGCCCTGCACCCCGCACGGTCTGCCCAGCTCCCCTCCCCCATCCCTCACCGGCTCATGGCCACCCGCTCGTCTGCTCGGCTTCCCTTCCAGACCCCCGTGCTCCTCATGTCTGCACCCCACCTTGTCTCTGGGAGCCCCCCCGTCTGCTCGGCGCCCGACGTCTCGCGTGCCCCCCCATCCTGTACCCCTTTCCACACGCTCTCGCGCAGGCCCCTCGTCCCCCCCCTCCCCGGGGCTTCCCAACCCTTCTCTCGAGCCTCGTGGGCTCCTCTCGATCCGACCCCAGCCCCCCATCCCGAGCCGGGGGCTCCTGACCCCCAGCCCGGCCCCGCCTCGGCGCCTCCTCCCCGGCCCCTCCTTTCTTTGCATCTCCCTGTCCCAGGCCTCCCCCTCCCTGTCTCTCTCCTTGCTCGCTCTGGACCCCCGGCATCCCTGCTTGCCTGGAGCCCTCCTCCCGCCCCCTCCCCATCCAGGCCCTCGGAATCCTGCCCCCCCCAGCAGCCGAGTCCTCGCCCTCCTTCGGGTCCTCCAGCATCCTTGTCTCCATGTTTCCTCTTTCTCTCCCTCCCTGCCCTCTGCCTCATTTTCCTCTCTTCCTGCCCCCAACATCCTTCCCCAGTGTCCCCCTGTTTTTTTCCTTCCTTCCTCCCTTTCCTCCCCCTCCTTTCCCTGGCGCTGGGGCCCCGAGGCGTCCTCCCTGGGCTCTCCCCAGCTGGCTGGACCTGCAGCCAGTGGAGGGGGTCGTGTGCGGCCACCCTTGCACATAGGTAGAGCTGCATTTTGCCTCTTTCTCGGTAAAAATAGACACATACAGAGGTGAAATTCGATTTCAGCACTTCACCCCCCACCCCGTTCAAATCTCTCTACCCCCTAAAAAGTGGGTGGGTTTGTGCTTACGCGGCTGGGGAGGAAAAGGAGGAGAATGAGAAGAGGGAGTGTTTTCTTGGGTACATTTGGAGGGTCAGTACTGATTATTGTGGGGTTCCATTCTTGATCGTAATTTCACTTAGACTGTCTTGAAATAGGTAGTGTGTGATGTTTTTAACTGTGAACAAGAAGAGAGAAGGACTTGAAAATTAATCCCAAAAGAGGAGAGTTAAAGGGATTTTCAAGACTGCTGTTGTGTGTAGTGTGATGGTGGAGAATAGATTAATAAAAAGGGGGTTATCTGCTGTTGCCAAACCCTAACCCAGAAAAAGAAGCACTTAGGTAGATTTGGGATGAAACTGATGTTTACCGAAGGGGGAAATGACTGTATTTTATCAGAAAGCATGCTTAAAGGATTTGGTACCATATGCATTTCTGTGAATTTCTTCCTTCTGCATCTGGTAGGGTGGTGCATTTTTTTTTTTGGGTGCATGTAAGTGGAATATGTAAGATCATGGAGGATGTGTGCCAGTACAGAGTAAGGGAGCAAGTCTCCATGGAAATCATTGCTAGAATATGGAGTTAAAAATACCCAAACAGCCTATTGTGAAAAGTTCAAGATTCTTTTTAGAAAGTGAGGTTTTTCTATATCAGAAATGTTATTCTGATTTTAAGTCAGTAAACAAAGGCATAGAAAGCAGTAAATACTTGGGAATAACGTTTCTTTAACAAGACCTTATCTTCTCCCCACCTCCCCCTCCTTTTTTTTTTAATAGAGGTTATTTCAGGATGCCAGTTTGTCACTTGTACGGGATTCGTTGAGATTTTAGCAGATGTGGCTTTAAAATTTTTGTAACAACATCACTTGGGACACAAAACGCTTACTTTAAGATGCATTTTTCCTTTACCTATGACTTCCACATTACAATTTTTAGATACTGAATGCATATTTAAAGAAGAGAGGAAGAATAAAATGAGGAAGCTGAGAACCTAGTAAACTCTGTGTGTGTGTGTGTGTGTGTGTGTGTGTGTGTGTGTGTGTGTTTTAAGGCAGCTGACTAAAATGAAGGGAGGGGATTTAAAACAGAAACAAAAGAACTTGGACAAGTCAAGAAATAACATTTTGTGGCAGTAGTGTTTTTAACCTAGTGAAAAATTTATCCCACATCATTTGGGTTTTCTGCTAAGCATAGAGCTGATTCAGAATACAATGTTATCTCGTGAGGTCTGAGGTTTAAAAGGATAGAACTTTGAACACTTAAAAAAGGTTTGGATCTCATTCTCCATGCTAACTGATAGACACCAGGGTTAGTCTGGGGGGCAGTCATAACGGGACAGTTGTTCTGCCCAGTGCAGATTGCCTCGGCAGAGTGAATGTGTGAGAGTTTTCCCCCTCACCCTTGCTGTGAATGAATGGGTCCTTCTGTGCCTGGGCCCAGTAACTGCTACAAGATGGCGTTTCCACCTAGGCAGTAGCTTTCTCTTTTTCAAAAAGCTCCCTTCTTATCCCCGCTTTACTAAATTATGCTCTGAGGATTTGTTTGTATTTTGCATTTGTTAGTTTTCATTTGCATTGTTTGAGGAGACTTCAAAAGAGGGAGGGTAGAAGGGAAGTGACTAGGTTTCTTCCTATTTTTTGAAGGGCTTCTCTTCAAACTGAAGACCAGTGGGAGGAGTAAATAGTTCAATTGAAAATTCCACCTAGGTGGTAACTAGAAGATCTGATGATACGAATTTTTACCTCCCGCTGTATTATTTAGACGATTTTCTTTATATAATATCTGATTGTTTTGTTCACATTAGCTCTTAAAATACTTTATTAGCTCAGAGCTCAACCATACTAAATTTGTTAACAGCACAAAAATGGAATTATTTCCACCTAATCTACTTGTTGCTAGTACTCTGTCGCTCATCTTTTGGGAAACTTTATAAAAGCCTTAAAATTGTGGTTGAACAAACATGTTTCTGTGGATAGTTTTCATTCAGTGAAGGAAAATGGTAATTGTTTATATTTTGGGAGCACGTCATGAATTTTTCTATACCCAGCAAAGGAATATGACATTCAGTAATCTGAAATAGCGTTGGGTAATAAAACAGCCTTGTTTATCAACTTTATTGTTAAAGTAACTGAGAATAGTTTTGAACATTTTCACAATTATGAAATGTTCAGGTTGACCCCTACTACCTGATTTATTCTCTTTATTTTTCATTGCTTATGTTACATTGGTTCATAGTGCATGATGGAATACAGTATCTTTTCTGGCATGAGTGGGTGAGATAGCCCCAGCCCCTTGTTTGAGAGTAAGGATTTAGAGTGCAACTTATGAAAGGCATAGTATGTACAGAGGTGGGGTTATAGGGATCTTTAAGATGAACTAGCGTTTATGAGTAAATTTTTTGGAGGGGGCATCGCTCCGTTTTAACACTAGCATTTTGTGTGTTGATGGGGATGAAATTGCTTGAAGTTGATCTGGGCTGTATTGCTCCAAAGGACAGAATCAGGATCAGTGGGGTGGAGGGGAGGAGGCTCCAGGCAGCCAGATTTTGACTCAGTATAAGAATTTTCCAAGAATTAGAGTGTCCCCCAAATAGAATGGGGGCTGTCTTTGTGACTTAGACACCCATTGTTCAGGGATAGAGAGCCTCAGGCAAATCTTTCTCTTCAAAACGAAGGGGTTATATTGGAAGATCTCTAACGTTCCTTCTGAAGCTGAAGAATCCCGTGTTTCTGTTACATAGATTGAATTAGACAAGGGGCTGAACTCAATCCGTGGTGTCAAACTCCAATAGAAATGGATCCCTGCAGCTGCTCGTTGGTTTAGAAAACCACAAATTAACATTATGTATGTTTTGAATTTATTTTGTTACACATTTCCCAGTTAACTTTAATCTGGTTCTGACCAGACTTGGGAGTTTGGAGCAGATCCTGCCCGCTGTGAGTTTGATTCTTCTAAACTAGATGGTTTCCAAGATCTCTTCTTGCCAAGATGATTGTGATTCTAGCTATGTAGGAATTCTCTGAAGGTAAGACTTTGGAAGAGCAAAGTAGCATTCTGTCTTTTCGGCTAAAACCGCCTCATTTATCTTTGCTTACTAATACCGACTCATAGATTGGCGTATAGCATCTTGGTTTTGAAATCTAATACCCAGCGTTCAAAGTTCATTGATATTTTGCTGGAATCAAATCATGCCTTTCTGTTGAGGAAATTGGCCCTGACCCTTTAGTTTAATGCTTGAAGTATTAACAGTTTCTTATTTCTTGTTGTTGTATCATTGTCATTTCTGTCATAGTTGACTCTTTATGACCCCATTTAGGGTTTTCTTGGCAGAGATACTAGATTGGTTCATCATTTCCTTCTCCAGCTCATTTTACAGATGAGGAAACGGAGGCAGACAGGGGGAAGTGACTTGCCCAGGGTCATACAGCTAGAACATGTCTGAGGGCAGATTTGAACTCAGAGTCATCTTGACTCTAGACCCAGTGCTCTAATCCACTGCTGCCACCTAGCTGCCTTCTTCTGTGTACATACCTATTTAGCAAAACTGCATGAGTATACCAGTGGAACATAAGCTGTGACAGGTCTACCAGCCTACAAAGGATTTGAACCCAGCAATATTCTGTATGTCTGCCATCTGAGGACCAGCATTGCTAAATTTGGAGGCTCATCACCAGAAGGTTGGCTACCAAGTGATGGATTTTGGGGGGGACCAGCTACTAAAGTATAGAGAGGTTTTTCTCTGCTTTCGTAGACACTGATGAAATGTTATAGCCTTGAAGGAAGTATCCCTGTTTATGCAGTATCTGATTTTACAACTTTTTTCCATCTTTTCTTATGATCGTAGATTCTTGCTGAATTGCAGGTCTGAGCCTGTCTGATAAATTCACGTTGGTCAGATTGTTCTGTATGGGCAATGTAACTTTGTATTACAATGGCCATGCATCACCATGCCTTGCTTTAGTAGGTGTTTAATGTTTTTAAGGCTTTCATCTAAATTTAGAAATTGTTATACATTTATAGTTTCTCAAACATTGTAATGTTTTGTAAAAGTTATTCTTTTTACTTCTCTTAATGGGTATTATTTTCTTTTGGAAAAAGGTTAGCTCCAAGATATCTCATAGAGTGACACCATGTCTGTCCAAGTTATGTAATTAAGTTGACTTTTTAAGACACTCTATATCTTAATGAGTAATGCTGATATTTTATTTTAGTATTACAGTATTGGCATTATATAGTCATCTTCAAATGATTGGTTTTTTCCTCCCCTGATGAGCTTGGCTCATGTTGGCCTCTAAATTGGATTAAATTCTTACTGACAGTGGACTCTTAGCTTTTCAGCTTTAGTGGATTGGTAATTGATATTCTCAGTATTAATATCTAGGTTTGGCCATATGGCATGCCATATTGTTTTAAAGCCTTTAGCACTAGTTAAATTTTGACCAGACTAA